TATCCTGCTTTAACACACCTGGATCAAATAATCAATTATCTACTCAAGATAGCATCACGTTTAGTGGAAGCCTGTCAATGACTCACGCTTTTCAGTCAGGGAAACATCAAAAACATGCAGGACCATGAGGATCAGGGTTGGGGGACATCTGTCCTCAATTCATTAACTGATCCCAAGCAACACGGTGATCACAGCAAACTTCCTGTCGAGTACCTAGAAAAACCTTAGAGAAGTGCTGCTTTAAAGCCAAAAGTCATTCACATCAAATTTAGGGAGGTTTAACTGCATATTTGATACAATTACTTTTTAAGAAATTAGATTATGGACTAATTCACATAAAATCTAAATGTGTTTAAAATCAAACGTTTGCACAGTAGCATCCATCCAGACAGACTCCAGGCGTATTACTGCCCTTCTGGAGCAAACGGCAGAGAGATTATCTCCTGGTTACATCATCAGCTCCGGTGATGTCACTGATGACAAAATCTGAGGTTGAAGCAGGAGCCAATCAGAGCTGGCCGTGCAGGTGAGGCTTCCGTTTCACGATCCCTCGACATTCAGGGTTAATATTGCTTCAGTATTGCCACAGAAAGAGAATAATGAGTTTAAAACAGCTCACAGTCCCGTCAGCCCTCATTTATCAGGCAGAAACACGAGCCGACTCGTATCACCTTCATCGTATCGAGTGTACTGAAACTGTGCAATCAGTAGTGTACAAACTAACTCATGATCAGTAGTTACAATATGAAACAAACAAAAAACAAAAAGGAAATCACATAAACTGAATCTACATTCTAACTTTATCAGCTGACAGCACAAATGTAGCGTTACTTAGGGTATCTGAGGCGGCAAATACAAAAGTTACCTTTTGTTTTTTAAAGCAATAGTGTTGTAACTGATGCACGACCACCCTGATGGTCTGTGCATTATAGTGCTTTACTAACTATACACAAAAAACCCCACTTTAACACTTTAATTTGTGGTGATAATCATACTACCGTGATAAATGAGGGCTATCTTCTCTTGCTCAGCTGGTTTCTAACTTAAAAGAAAAAGAAAAATCGACAGAAGTTCGTGAACCAGTCTTGTTGTCGTGTCCTATTTGAAACACAAAAAGCACTGTCAGCTGTTGTGCTTTTGGTTGCAATTCATTAAGTTCTAAATGAGTTCACTTTCAGAATATTTCTAGATGAGGCGCCGCACCCCAGCAGCCTCAAGGATGTGCAGCGTCCCGCACTCACGCTCCCCCCCCGCACCGCACGACGCAGTCTCACAGACGAAAGCCGTTCGGCCGAATCGGCACGGCCAAGGTCGCACCCCGCCACACGCCGGGGGGCCCACTGCTGCCCCGCAGGGCAGAGCAGAGGAGGAGAAGGAGAAAGGGAGGTAGGTTCAGGGAGGATTTTGGTAGAAAAGTTGAGGTTCATCACAACCAAGACATGAAGTTTGTTTCAGTTGTACCAAAGTCAACACTTCCTTCCCTGCTGCTACGTGTGACCTCCACTTATATCTCCGTTCTCGCCGCTCTCCGTGTCGTGTAGGTTCCTGCTACTTAACACTCAGCTCAGCCTGCTTCAGTTGACCAGTACAAAGCCATGCTGCGAGTCCACCGTCTCCATCATCTCACTGTCCAGGAGAGAACCCTGCAGCTCAGGCATGCCCAGGCTGTCCGACGGCCCCGCGGCAGCCAGAACTCCAGGAACGGCCTCTCCTGGGCCAAGTGGAGGCATCAGACCAGGGTTCAGGGAGAACTCGTACGGGTCTGGTAGCAGAGTTTCAGGTCCGAGGGGCTGCTGCTCACAGCCCGTGGGGTAGTTGAAGCTCAGGCCGCTGCTGGAGGCCTCGGGAGGCTGTTGGTGGTGCAGCTGGGGGTGGAGGGGAGCTCCGTGGGGCAGATGCTGGGTGTAGTGGTGATGGCTCATGTAGGGATCGTAAAGCACCCCCCCACCGGGCTCCAGCAGGGGACTCAGGTTGAAGGGAGGGGAGGCCTGAGAACTGCCCTGCTGCTGGGGCTGAGGCTGGCTGCTGGCAGACATGGAGGGGCCCTGGGGGGGACTCGGGGGCACCGTCAGGTCCGAAGCAGGACTGCCTGGTGGGTAGGAGCCTTCAGCTATCTGCATCTGGTTGAAGTAAGCCTGCAGACCCATGCCCTGAGACTGCTGCTGCAGGAACATCCTCTTCTGGTTCAGCCTGTGAAAGAGACGACAAGGACACGATTAAAAAGATAAAACCAGAAACAAACATGAGCTAAATGTAAACAATTTTTAAAAAGGTGACATCTTATATCAGCTTTTCTATGTTTGTAATTAACTTAACAWCTCTTTGCATCATTTTTTATTTGAAATAAATCTGCTGCATGAAATGATTGAGGTAAGAAAACAGCCAATCAGAACATTTCGACCAATTCTCATTTCTTTAGACTTGGCTTCCAATCGATCTAAATCTCTTGTAATCTTTTAAAGTGGTCTTGAACAAAACGTTCTACAGACTTAAGTCTGTCTTTGAACTGTAGCTGCTTTCTTTCACTCATTTTATGTCCAGTCCTTGTATCTGACCATGACAGCATATTGTAGGGTGTGTTCCTAAACATGAGAAGAGAGGACAAGAGGAAGACAAAAGAAGAGTATGACTAATAACTATCCCTGAAGATGAATGGCATCTGGAAGTCATGTTTTAAAACAGAACAGCAAAGAGCTGAAATCGAACCGGAGAGATGATCATTTATGTGTCAGGTTTTCAGCTAACACCTCTGTTGAATCATAACATCGCTGCTTAATTCTGTTTTATCTTTTCTAACTGTGTTATTGTTGTTAATAAGTTTGTTTATATYTTAAAGTAAAGAAATTGGAACTAATTGTGTCTTTGTGACACACTGTTAATAATAAAACGGGACCAAAGATCCATCTACTTTTGTTTTTTTTACTTTTTTTACTAAGTTGTCTGTTATGTGTTGACACAACACCAGCTCATCCCTGAGCTTCTATAGGTCAGAGTTTAGTGGAATAACAAACAAATAAACTTCCTCTGAAATGGGTCAGGTGTTCGACTGAAAATGAGTGAAAAAACAGCCAAAGTCCAAAAAAAAATAGAACTCTGAAAAACCTTCAGTAATCTTGAAGAACCATTGATCCAGATGATCCAGACCTGATTAAAACAATGACAAGTCAGTTTGGCTTCTTGGAAGCAAAAAGAAACAAACCGTTAAAGACTTTTGCACAGCGCTGTAAAAATGAAAGGCAAAGAAACATAAAATCAGCTAAAGAGCAGCATGGACTGAATGATGGCTAAGTAAATGAAGCAGGTTGATCATCTGGCTGCGGCTAGTTTCCTCTCTGAATGATTCAGAATATTTAACTCTCCAAGAAAAAAAAAGAAAAGAAAATAAAGCCTAAAAGGCAGAGGAGACTTTAGCAGTGTGAATTACCTGTGTTCCTGCAGCTGCTGCTCTAAACTTCGAGGAGTCTCCTTACAGAAAAGCTGACAGCTAGCAGGACTGTTAGCCAAGATGTTGGCCTTTGGGCAAAAGAGACTAACAATTACATCACGATCATCTGCAACCTCCATCACTGCTGTGGTCAGCCAGTAATCTGAGTGGTGTGGACGGTACCTGTAGTCTGTGAGTGAGGTACTGTGTTTCCAAACTCTGTCTGCGGGACAGGAGAGGCGGCTGGGGCTCACCTTGGTATAAAGCTAGGCCCTCCTGCTGCTTGCAAGCCTCACCCTTCAATTAAAAACATAAAATGGTGCAAGAAAATTAGCTCAGATCACAGTTTTCCCCCCATCTCCTTCGTGTTAACAAAGCTGTGTCCTCATCCTCCTGCCCGGATGCTCGTGTGGCGACCCATCAGCCAGATGCCTTTTCTCTACAGGGAGCGTACCGGAGGGATTTCACATTAGGTAAATGGAATGAAAGCTAATTAAAAGGATGATGGGACTTCAAGCATCATAACAAACAAAGAGCAGCTTTATTTCATTATGAGATGGTTAACCAAAAATTAAAAACAAACAAACAAAAAGAAAAAAAAAGGTAACAGGAAGATCTTGTCTGTGCTAATTTATTTTTTGTTTACAGGAAAGCAACAGTTTTTTCATCAAATAGCTGCCCACGTGTTGTGTCTCTGTGTGTCTTTTTTGTGTGACAGAATTCTAGTACTTACTATGGGCAAGTCTGACGGATTTCAACAATGGCTGCATTCATTTTGGCCACGGCTCTGAGCTCCAGGGGGACAGGAGACAGTAAACAAGTCACAGTTGGCTGCCTCTCCTGGGGTTACACAACAGCCTGGGTGCTTGTGTGCTTTTTTTTTTTTTTTTTTTTTTATAAAATCAGAAGGCTGCAGATGAGCTTTGGGAGAATATGTAGATGTTGGAGTGTGTGTTTTTTGTGTGTGTTCTTGCAGCAGACTGACCTCCAGCAGGTTGTGCAAGTGGTGCTGTGGTCCCACAGGGCCCCCGGTGGCCCCTTCCCCAGAGCCCATCTGCTCTACCAGCATCTGGACTTTGTTTAGATCCAAGATGCCTTTGGTCCTTGCCAAGTTTTGGAGGTGCTGCCGAAACGCCACCAAACCTGCAAGCACAAATCAAATCCTTCAAAATCAGCACATTCACACTTCACATAGGATGAACCATGCTCCATTTTTTGTTGTTTTGTTTCCTACAGAAACCGGGCCTAATCCTCGCTGACGTTAGATTGGTGCGCACTTTTTATCACCTCTGCTGACAATGTCACTGGATGTACGTCAGTGTGTGCACATGTGACTGTACCTCTGAGTCTGTGTGTGTGTGTGTGTGTGTGAAAGTGTGTGCGTGCAACGGCACAAACAGCTCTGATAAGACCCGTCCAGTGGTGACGAGCTGCGGCTGTGAACGATAGGACCTGACTCACTGCGATGGTGGGAGTTATTTAAAACCAGAGTCAGCAGCGGACTGACGCAAAAGAATCTGCCACATCAATACCCTCCAAAGAAGATTATGAGAAAGAAAGAAATAAATATGTGCAAATACCAACTGGGAGCGCACGCTGCTGCTGACTGTCAACGAGGAGCTGGGGAAGGAACATATTTTTAACTCAGAATTATCGGTTCTGCTTGGCTTAAGAGCAGGTGATTTACAACCAGCAGGCACGGAAACAAACAGCAAAAAAAAGGGGGAAAAAAAGAAAAGAAAACAGAACAGTGCAGTAGACGGGGATTGTTTAACACCGCCTCTTATGTTTTTGGCTCTTCTGATGTGAAGACAGAAATCTTGCCTGCAACTTGGAAAGGAAAGGCAATGAAACAGGGAATGAGCAGTACATAGGGAGGGGGGTACGTTAACAGGAGGGTGGGTTGGGGGCCAAGGGGAAGTGAGATATGTGGGCTGAAACCTTCAAATGTGCGTCTGATTCACCAGGTGAATCATCGCCGTTGTAGTCGTCAGAGACACAGAGAGGATGAGAGACTGGAGGAGAGAGAAGGAAGAGATGGAGAAAGAAAGGTGTGAAGGAAGGGGGAGGTGGCAACGAGACAATTTCAAACACACGTATATTTTCTATAGAAAACACGCAGATCTGCTTCTGTGTGAACAGCTTTGACAGAGCAGCTGTAGGAGTGTTGCATCAGTGTCATGGAAATCAAAGTTCCTCGTCTCGCTCGTTGTTCGTCTGTGGCATCAAACTCCCTGTGGTCTCTGAGCTCACGGAGACATCTCAGATATGGCATTTAATTGACACTTATATGTGTCTGATCTGTGATTTCAAAGCATTTACGTTCAATCCGTCTTGGCGAAATCAGTTGCAGTCAATGTTAAAAATTCTTTTCACAGAGTCTCGGGAGCTTTGTTGCTCTGTTCAACAGACGTGCGGTGGGAATAGTATAGTGACAGTGTCAAAATATCCTGTCGTTGCATTACTGTTTCACTTTCAAAAGACTACAGAAAAAAAAGGAGATCATGTCTTTTTGATTCAACACATTCATTCTCATTGTCAAAACCTGCCTCCTACATAATCCACAGTATAACTTAAATCTGAGATGCAAATAGGAGTTAATGAAGGTTGGAGTGTGAGGAATTACATTAAAAACCCAGAGGAAAGCCCACGTTCTTATCAAAGACAACTGCGCAGCTGGCTAATATTAAAACAGCAGCAATGTTAAGGGTTAGTAGCAAATAAAGACTTATAACCTAGCTGCAGTGTCCAATCCTGGTCCTTTAGAGCCACTACCCTGCATGTTTTAGTTGTTTCCCTGCTCTTCAGGAACTCATCAAGTTCTGCAGAAGGCTGTTAATCACTAGTTTAWTCAAATCAGGTGTGCTGAAGCAGAGAAACATTCAAAACYTACAGGATAGCAGCTCTTGAGGAACAGGATTGGACATCCCTGCATAATTTATAAAGACAAATTTATTTTCATATTATAGGCAAAAAAATAATGGCTACGGTTAAGTGGCAGAAAAGATTTTCGAAGTGATAAATTGGACCTGGAGAACCTGCTATAAACAAAAAAGATATATCACTTCCTAAAAAGTAAATTCAGTTTGTGAGCTTACAGGTTTGGCATCTAAAGGAATCAAACCTCATCTAGCTGGTTCTGACCTTGTGTGAGGGAGGTGTCAGAGGCACGCCGTCCTTCTCTGAAGCTGATGGGGGAGCGGTTGTGCGTCTCCCTGTGCTGCGAAGTCAGGACAGCCATCGCTGGGTTGGCAGGCCTCGCCATCAAYAAGGGCGCAGGGGTGACGCCAGGAGTGGAGCTGCTGGCTGGCATCGCTTCGCTGAAGGAGGAGAGAGAATCCTCCAGCAGACCCAGGTCACTTTGCACGGACCCCATATCGTAGCCCATGTCTGAGTTCATGCTACTGGAGGATGGGTTGTGGCCGAGGGCGAAGAATTTACCTGAGGAGGAAACGTTGATCCCAGGTCAACACAGGGATTGAGAAAACTATTTTAGTTTTTAAGCAGAGGTCGTCAGCAAGGTTTTAATAACTTTGGATTTTTCATTATAGTTTAGTTTTATTTCGTTTTGACTTTTTTCTTTTAATTCAGTTAGTTTTAATMAATTTTTACAGTGGATTTGATCATTTTTATTCGATACTATTGCATTTTTAATGCTTATTTTTAGTTTAGTTTAGTTTTTATTAGTTCTAGTATTAGTTTGTTATATAGTTTACTTGCCAATGCATCCTCCATCTTGTGATGTTCCTGTGAGTTAACTAACCAACAGCTATTTGGTGGCTAGTTAAAGCAGCCCATTAGCGACACRTTCCTAAAATAATTGTGTAACTCAATTTTGCCAACTAACCCGGGGCTACCTGTTGCTTGTTATTCGTGGAGCTACTGAGAGAAGTTAGCGTGTCAAGATAGTCATAGTTAGCCATCTTGTGTGAGCTTGATTCATGCAGTTTTCCCCTTGAGAAGTTTTCCACCTGTTTTAGCACCTGTTTCCACTACAAGACACTTGATTTTATTTTTCTCGCAGTCGTATTTAAGGAAATCCCAAAGTGGATGCTTTCTCTCAACTTTAGTTGTCGTTATTTGGCAGATAATGCTGAGCAGCAGACTGTAAACGAGTGTTACAGACCATGAGGTGCCGTAAGCTGCCCACAGCTAATGTGAAACTACTCAATTAAAAAATAAATAAAAAAAAGATCCACACGGCTCAAAATTAATTGACAAACACTAAAACTAAGGCTACTCTATCTATAATTACATTTTCAGTTAGTTATCAWTTTTTTATTTTATTACAGTTTTTATTTATTTTAGTTAACTAAAATGTTTTTTTTTTCAATTTCAGTTTTCGTTACTGAGTTAATTTTAGTGAACTATAATAACCCTGGTCATCAGCAGACATCGTACCTTGGTTTGAGGGGCCCGGCTGATTCATGACTTCAGACAAGGTGTGCCGTCGTTGTCCAAATCGAGCTGTCTGATAGGCTGAGAGCAGGTGGGCCGGATCATCCTCTGTGTCGGGTTCCTCGGTCTCAATACCCTCGTCGATCGATGTCTCCATCATGTTGCTAGGCGACGAGGTGGAGGACTTGCGGAGGACAGTGGTGGGAGGTAGGGGGTCCAGCAGGCAGCCGTTCACCTGTGATGAAGAAAACGATAAAGAGACTGAAAGACGGAACAATAGTTAKACTTCTGAAACAGAAGGTGACAGCTATAAACAAAGCTAAACMGTCTGTGCCAGTTTCTGATGTGTTAATCCTGTGTTGAATTAGTATTTCCTCTTGGAGTGTGCCATCCTCTCAACAGAAGATCTTTGGGAGTCCTTCTACAGGTGTATTTGAGGACTGAGAAGGAATGGCTGCAACATTTAAACTGTAGGCATTTTCACACTCAAAGCAAACATATTCCTTAAAAAATCTAAGTATTATAAACCCTAAAGATGCACGCAAAACGACGGTACAGACAAACTTCATCGTTTGCAGATCMTAGAAACAAAAATGTCATCCTCCTTGCAAGGAGAAGAATTCCATTACTTGCCTCCCTCCGTTTCCTTTCATTTTACAAGAATCGTTTGCATATTTTAATTGTTTTTCTGTGTTTTAGTTACAGCATGAAGCCCTGTGTTTGTTGACTGAGATACACACACACACACACACACACACACACACACACACAC